GCACTTATTAAGTCCTGTAGCAATGATTTGATGCAAGTTGTAACCATCCTTATTTTGAAATATTTTAATGAACTATGTATGGGAAAAACTATTTTTGGATAAAATCTTATTTTCTTCCATTTTCTGAAATTTGACATTTGAAATTAAATTTAAGATGTTACAATTTTGGTATCAGAGTCTTTGCCATGAGTAGAGCAGAGGCTTCGCAATCTGAGGAGCTGATCCAAGGTAAATGTGTAATAAAAGACAGATTGATTGATGTGTTGTTTGACTCAGGTACGCACTCTTTTGGTTCTATGGACTATGTGAAGAGTCTGAATCTGCATGTAATACCCAGGCGCTAAGCGAGAGCGAGGAGTGATCGCCGGTGCAATGTGTGGCACAAACAAGGAGCAGCTACTGGCAGACTTCAGAATGTAAGGGGCACATAAATGAATCGAATTTACACCAGAATGAGAGGGATCCAGAGACTGTGGGATCCAGAGACTGTGTATACAGTTGAGGATAACTTAAAAGAATTGATTAAGACTACTTATACAAATAAAATGCATTTACTTTTTTGTGACCTATCACTTAAGAACTCCAAAGTTAAGCATGCTTAACTTTGAGAAATTATGGGATGAGTGACCTTCTAGAAAGTTTCCGGTAAGTGTGTGAGTGAAAACAAAACACACTAAAAAGTCTTGTGTTGGTTTGTGGAGACAGTCGTCAATCCCATATAAGTTGTCGGGCTCTTACAAGAGTTGTGTAGTCTTTATGGCTACATAAGAATAAGAGAATTTGTTGGATGAAAGTGATCGTCATAGTCTGTTTATTTGTAGTGTTTTTTGTTGGTGTGTTGGGTGAAATAGAGTTGTTGGATTCTATTATTTTGAAATCTTATTTAAAAGCATAAGATAACTATGCTTATGCTTCTTTGTATTTTGCTTGTTTTTTAAAAATATTAGTTTATTTTCTTTCTTTGTGTAAGGGTTTTGAGTATCTTTTTTATTCGTTTTAATAATATTTGTTTGCTTGTCAAAAAATTAATGGTTGTAATTATTTTTTAATATCTTAAAAATGAGAGAGTATTAATGTATTTTTAATCAAACCACTAACTCCATTGTCTATCAATATAAAATTAACAATAAGGATTGTTTCGTATGGAAGAAAAGATACCAAACCCTTTTAATTACTTGGGAGTATCTTAGATTTTACCTTAAAACTGAAAAAACTAAAATTTCATATTTAAAAAATAAAAAGAGTCAAAATTGCACTTCAAAAATTAAGAAAAAACTAAATGCAAGCAATTAAATTTCCGAAAGATCGCACATATGTTTAAAAAATAAGAATCAAACATGCGATTAAGCTTAAAATAAATCTTGAACCGTAAAACAAACTTTTATTGTATATGCCTTTGCAGTTGCTAGCATAACCTACAAAATTGTTGAAGGTGAGAAGCGGCTTAAGTAACGTAATTTCTTTTCTAACAATCGCACTAGCTTAATGGGAATTAAAAGTCCATAATACACAAAATATATACATATTTTTCAGATAGTACATATGATATTAAAAAATTTAAAATGTTATATGTGGAGAAAGCCTTGCTGTCAAGAATCTGCCCCCTGCTCAAAGGTAATAAAGAATGAGTTTTCGCATGGAGAACACTGTACGTGTAAAATGTATTATCTATATAAAGTATTGTTAACACATGACATGAGTATCATTTAATTTTTAAATAATTATTGTTCAAACATATGTTCAATACTTATTTTAGCCTTACACGTGTTATATGTTGATAAAAGTTAATTAAATTTAAAATTTAAATATTTAATTCAACAGCAATAAATAGAAAGGCTAATATTGAAATTGACAATAACAATCCTACCCAAGATATTATGTGGCATGTCCTAAACAGTTATGTCACGACTTTTTTTTTTTCTTTGCCTTCTTTTTTCCTTTGTTTCTTCTCTTTCATTTTTTATAGTTGTAAAAAAAATTTGAAAAACTTTTCTCTCCCACTCACTCTATTATTGGCCTTTGTCTCTGTTAATAATTTAAAAACAATAGTTGTCATGGTTTAGTATGCAAATTAAAGGTTGAATTTTAAGATATGTTTCTTATTATATCGTATAAATTACATTTTATGAATTTGAGAGATATTTTATGATAAGATATGTTAATGTTTTTTTTAATTAAAAAAACCTTAATTTTGACATGGAGTCTTTTTGTTTTTTATTTTTTTATTTTTCTTTTCAACGAGATGGAAGAGAAAGAAAAGAAAAGAAGTAATCTATTATATGGCACAATCTTAAATAATATCAACAATTTTAATATTCACACTAGCCATGATAGCTTTACATGGGTCTTTTACCCTTAACTGTTGATTTAAATTTTTGAATTTTAAATTTAAATAACTCTTATTAGTATTTGACACGTGTAAAGTCAAAATAAATATTGACACTAGTTAGAATGATACTTTAATTTATAAAATAAAAAATTAAGTATTATAGACAATATTTATGTTATGTGTCAAAAATAATCTTAAAAAAAATATGTTTTACAAATATCATATTTGAATATTTTGCTTTTAAATTAATCCTAAATAAAGAAAAACAAACCCTATAATTATATAATGTGTGTTTGATTTTATTTTTGTTATAATTTATATTGTTATCATTAATTTTTATTTTTATAATTAAATGAATTAAATAGGTTTATTATACTTGAGTGAATTAGATGATTAATAAATAAATGTATTAATATTTACACCAAATTCATATAGATAGAATGACTCATCAAACACTACAAAAGGGAGGTAGAAGAAAATATTAAGGCAAATTATGAAGTCACAACAAACATAGGTATATTAATGAACAAACATTTAATTTTGTCTTTAAATATATAATATCGTTCAAATTAATTTTTTAAAATTAAAATTTATCAATTAAATTAATTAGTATCATTAAAAATGTTAAAATTAAATAATAAAATAATAATTTATCATTTAATTTTGTGTCATCCTTTGATTCTTCCTCTTCTTCGTAGCATTTTTTTTCTCTTCCTTTTTGCTACAACATTAGCGGATTTCACCTTCAAACAACTCCATCATACCTCTTCGTATTTTTCGTCAACTTCTGGTATAGACTAGTGAGGTTGAATGAATGTGTGAAACATGGAGCATCTCTTCAATGCGTATGAGCCACACATTGTCAATTTTATTGGAGGCCGAGTGGTATGAGGTCGCAGAAGAAGATAAAATAAAAAAAGATAAAAAGTTGCTGATCAAAAATTTTAAAAATAAAAATTAACATGATTAAAAATTCTAAAATAGGTTTTTCTGCAATAAATTATTATTCTATTACTTAATTTTACAGTTTATTAATAATAAAGATTAAAATTAATTAACAGTTCTTAATCTCAATAACTAATATTTAAATTTATAAATTTTTAAATGATTGATTTCAATTACTTGGCATATTTCAGAGACTCCTAGATTAACGTGAATGTGACTGCACACTGTTTGGTCAACCAATTGAATAAGAAATTCCCTGCCAAAAATTGAAGAAAAAGGAGAAAGGCAATGAAACTAATATAAGTGAAACAAATGCAGGAGATCAATGGATCCGAGAAATGTGTATTAAACAAATGCAGTTGATTACAAACACTTTGTTGATAAATTAATATATGAATATTTTTTTACCAAAATTGCAGAAAAATACAGCATTATAGTTTTTAATTAAAAATTAATTCTTTAACTAATATCCTAAGAATACTACTTAACATTTTCTTAAAAATATTAATCACTTGCAGATTATGGAAAGAAAACAAAATAACCCAGTAAAGAGCAAAAGCAAATTAAGCAATAATTGATCAGTTTGTGGGGGAAGTTCTGTTAAAAAAAACAATAAATTAATTTAAGAAGAGAAACTGAAGTGTCAAATTTTGTTTCCTTGCAATAAAAATAAGCAATTTTAGCTTTTCGTGTGGGGTGCACACTCCCTTCAATTTATAAATGACACGCTTTACCGTGGGATTCCATCAAGTTTGTTTTCATTATTTTTATAACACTAATCCTGTAGATGACACTCCCGTGTAGGGCATACTACATCTAATATTAGATACAGGTTTTGTAAGACTGAATATAAATAGTAAATAATAATAAAATTTTATTAAAAAATATTTATTATATTTTTATAATTTTAATATAATAATTATATATAAACACTTACTGAGTCCTCTACTGCGTAGCCTATAAAGCTAGCTAGCTTGCTAGGCAGCTGTATACTGATAATAGTTGTTCATGTTGTACCATGATCTTTGCTTATAATATCAAATTATCAATTACTTGTATTGCTTATATGTTGAAAATTTGTTGGAATGACTAAAAAACACAATTTATATTTTCAGTAACTGTCAGAATCACTATTATTCCCATGCCTGAAAGGGTTCGGTAAATGGCTAAATGCACAAGCATATACCCATTCATTATAAAAATATTCTTCTTATTTTCCTATTCTCCACATCTATCAAATTCAAATAATAAACTAAACTATATAAAAAAGATTATTTGAACCACGTATATAATTAAAAATAAGATTAATTGAACCACCTAAGACGAATGATATTAATTAAAATTGATGAGGAATATGTGTGATGAATCCACTTTCAGTGACAAATTGTTAAACGCGAACCGGATTCATTCGTTAAAGTCACCACTCGTACCTAGTGCCCTCCACACTAACACCTTTCCTTGATCATTATTTAAGTCCATTTATTGTGCTAAACATTGCCATCACCCCTCTATAAATATCCTGCATTCGAATATAATACCCACAAGCTCTCAATATTTGTATTCCTCCTTATTTTCTATCTAATAGTATATTCTCCACTTTATTTTACCTTCAATTCGTTCCTTCATGGCTTCCCTTGGTGATCATAAAACTAATGAAATATCACTTAACCATGTTGAGATTCCCATCAATGCAAATGGTGGTGAGCCAAAACCAATCCAAGATGTTGAAGAGAGCAACGTTGACTACTCTCAGAGGGCACAATGGCTCCGAGCAGCTGTGTTGGGAGCCAATGATGGGTTGGTCTCAGTTGCATCATTGATGATGGGTGTTGGAGCTGTTAAGGAAAACATCACAGCCATGCTTCTTGCTGGCTTTGCAGGCTTAATAGCTGGGGCTTGTAGCATGGCAATTGGAGAATTTGTCTCTGTGTATACTCAGTATGACATAGAGATGGCTAAAATAAAAAGAGATAAACAAGTTACTATTGGTCATGTAGGTGAATTAGAAACTCAAAGGGAGAAACTACCAAATCCATTTCAGGCTGCTATAGCATCAGCACTTGCATTTTCTGCGGGTGCTGTGGTGCCACTTCTAGCAGCTGCATTCATTAGGGGCTATAAGATTAGGCTAGCTGTTGTTGTTTCTGTGACTAGTTTGGCGTTGTTTGTATTTGGAGGGGCAGGAGCAGTGCTAGGAAAAACACCAGTGATAAAGTCCTGTGTCAGAGTGCTAATTGGAGGTTGGATGGCTTTGGCCACTACATTTGGCCTTACCAGGTTATTTGGATCAGCTGGACTTTGAATGGGGTTAATTGTTACAAGCCTTTTAGGTTTTGACTTCTAACTACACTTTAGCTAGTAGTCTAGTACTGTGTTTTTTTGTTTCTTGCTTTCTTTTTTCATCTAATTGCCTGGCTAGGTGGATTTCCTTTCTTGGCTTTTTGGGTACTCCTTGAGTTATTATATGTTTTATTAAGAAAAAGTATTAAAGGACTTAATTTGTAACATAGCCACTCTCCAAAATGCATGTGGTGATGTGGATTGGGATTATTTCATGCTGGGATTAAGGTTACAAACTGCACACTCAAATATTAATTATAACCGCATCAGCTGCATTTAATCAAAATTTTATTTTCAATATTAAAGTTTAGACTTAGAAGTTTCCTTAATTACAATTTAAAACATTAACTAGTACTATATGATATTATTTAAGAGAATAAACATCATTCTTATCATGTAAATACTCATTCTAATTTATTATTAAGTCTATTAGTTATATTAAAAGAAAATATTTTTCTTTATTTAATAGATTTATATTATCATTTATTGTTGTTAAGAAAAAATAAAATCAGAAGATCTAAATCTTCCCTTTACTCTTGGTGGGCAGATTTTCAAGCTTTCAAATAAAATCCAAACAGAATCCAACAAAGTATTTGCCTTCACAATCATATGTATTTTCCAAAAAAGATTTAATGGTTCAACTTGTTTTTCTTTCTTTCTTTCTTTGTTCTTTATTTGGTGCATTCCCACATTTATATTTTACCTTTTATCCTATTTTTAGAGGAATAGATAAAATATCAATATTAATATTTTTATTATAATTTTTTAATACATAATTATATTTAAATGTAAAGTTGATTTGTTACTCAATTTTTGACATCAATTTTATCATTCGAATGAAATCATAACTTTTCTATCATAATATAAGTAAGTAATTCTTTATGTTACTTTTTTCTATCAATTAGATATTTTATTTTTTAAAAGAAATATATAGGCATATCTTTTTTTTTTCAACGGTAATAATTTTTTTTATCATATGTGAATTATTATTAGTATTTTATTATTAATAATAATAATAATGATTATTATTATTGTTTATGTATTCACCAAATTAATAAGTTCTATCAATTAATATGATCTTAAACCATAAATAATTTTTGACTTATATATGAATTTTTAATTTTTAAAAAATTTACAATTCTTTTATGTGGTATTTCATTTTTATTTTTTCTAGTCAAGTCTAGCAAAAATAAATATTTGTTAAAATATATATTTAATCTTTATAGTTAATACTCATTTATAAATTAACCCATATACTTAAACAAACTTATATTTTAGTCCCTATATGAGTATTTTATTTTGTTTTACTTTATATTGTTATAACACTAATATCAGTAAAGACTAAAACATAAATGACATGGATTAAAATATGAAGATTTTTAAATATAAAAACTAATTTGTAAACAAATGTAACTATAAGAATTAGTGTATAATTGAACAAAAAAATTATCATAATTTCTGAACTTCATAGATTTGGAACTATTCAGGGTAAAGAGTTGCGGCACTGCCTTATGTGTGAGAGATATTTTAATTGTTTAAATATATCAAAATATTAATTTCAAAGGATTTAATGTTTGAATACTTTTTATTTTTATTTTTATTTTACTTCTTTTAAAAAAAAACTAGTTTTTATTTTGCTAAAGGATAAAGTTTTTTTATTAAGTGGAGATAAGATTAGCTTGAAGGAGTATCCGAAGGGAATAACTTGTCTTAAGGAATAATTCCATGGCCAATGGCTGAATATGTAGTCCCATCTGGCTTCAAGACAAGAATATCGAAGGCACATCATGCTGAAAATAATTTCAAGAAGAAACTAGAAATTGAAAGTGATATATGCAGAAATTTAAGCTCAAGAGGATATGAATCCAAATAAATAGACGATATATGACTGCAAGAATGTTAATATATTTTAGATTCAACAATGACACGGGCATACACACACATATATCAAATAATAAATCATGTTAAAACTTTGTACCTAAAACAAAATAAGTAAAAGTTTAATAATTAAATTTAAAGACTGATTAACTTACGTTGATGTAACTTGCATAAACTTTTTTGTCCTTTCGTATTATTTTTATTAGATAACTTTATCATATATATCACATTCACAAAATTTTATATTAATCCAAATTATATAATATTTTATTTATATATAAAAATTAATTTTATATATTTTAAAATATACAAAATTAAATTTTTTAATTATATTGTTATAATTGTTTATTTTTAACTAAATTTGACATAAATAATTAAGATATTACATGGTTTTAATTCTTTGATTATATTTGTACAGTTCTTCCATTTTTATTTATATTGTACATCTCATTTCTTTTCTAACCCTTTTAAAAAAAAAATTATTTGTCTATTTTTCAAAAATTATAGGTAATATTCATTTTATCAATTTCTCACATGCATATTTATTTTACACACATCAAAAAGAGAGAAAAACAATGCAAGAAGAAACATTAATTAAAATAATAAATAAGAAATTAAATAATTAATAATTAAGAGAGATAATGGATAAAACAAATAAAGAACATATTACAAATTTAAAAACAATTTGTGTATTATAACTTTAAAATATTAATAGAAAGAGAAAAAAGATATTTGGTTATCAAATACTTCATCACAACGAATAAGCCAAAAATACTTTTATTTTTAAAAAAGAAAAACAAAAATATATAATAACTACTAAATACGTAAATTGACTGGTAGAGAGTTATTTTAACTTAATTTATAGTCTCAAGTTTGAGTCCTAGTAAATATAATTATATTAAATACTTGAAAAAAGAATTTTGTCATTTACAGTAATTTTACTCAGCTCAAATTGAATTACTTATTGATAATAATTATTCATGTTAGTGGTCTTAGTTGACTAAAATAAGATTGTCTTTGAGTAGAGAATATTCAAAAAAGAGTTTCATCATTTATAAAATAAAACTACCTTCAGTGGAGGATACTAAAGGCAGAGTTTTATTGTACGGTGGTCCCATATGAGAACCAAACTTTCTCAATGAATGCAAGTGATGACTGCTGATCCTTTATCCTTATAAAAAATAAGGGACCGCAGGATTTACTGTTCCGTTCCAGCAGAGGAGAATTTCTTTTTAAACTCCCCTCTTTTTTTAAGAATTAAATTTATAGAACGTGTTAAAGTCTTTACCAAAAATTAAATTTCAAAAGCAACAAAAAAATGTCATACGAGTGCAATAGAGAGAGAAAAGAAAATGAGGGATGCGAAAATAATGGGTCCCTGCAGAGCTCAAAAGTTTGGTTCAACCAAAAGTGATAGCCATGGCCAACCATTCCCCAACCTTCACACAAGACCTTGTATTAGGTGTTTTGAAATCTGAAAGAAACAGTGGGATATTAAATAGATAAGTAACTTGACAAAGGAAGATGTTATTATCAAAGTGCGATGTTTCGGTTTTGAAATTAAGTATCGCCAACTATGTTAGCTACCAATAGATACGTTGGCTTGCAAAGTTTTCGAAAAGAAAATATTGTTTGAATTATTTGATTATATGTCTATTGTACAAGTGTAAGACCTGACTTCATAGAAGTTATGTAACACTTGGGGGCAAAGCATGAGAAGCAAATCATATTTGTATGACAGATGTGAATGAATACATGTATAGTGCCCATTTTAGAAGCCATATGAACTTAGAGAAATGCTCCAACCTTAGAGATGGAATAGGAAGATAATAGCTCTTAATGCTAATTTTGGTACGAAATATAATAAACAACAGAGATAACCCAGTGTTGCCCAAAATGACTACATTCTTGGATCGCGATCAACCAATTTTAGTTTGTGGCAAAATAAACTTGTCCAATCCTTTACAAGATCCATAAAGAGCTGGAGAGCATTTTCACCATTGAAAGTGTGCACGTAACTATAATTTTAAGTCCTAGTGCTGACAAGACTCAACACTGAGATGAGACAATGGGATAAATGAACGGTTGAGTCAAGCACGAGATTTATAGGAACGGTATAACAGCAACTTCATGAAACAAGACCTACCCATACTATTCAAAAGAAAAGTATTCTTAGTGACCAGAAGAGTTAATGAGATTTTAGAATAGGAAGTAAACAATCTGCTTTAATGATGAGACTCGCGTTACAATCTCTAACCAAGGAGGTTATTAAAAATCCTACTTCTGTGGAGAAGTGTTTTTAAGTAATTGGTGAAAACAGTCAAAAGACAACATACAATCAGAAAGAACCAACATGAGCCACAACTGATCAAATCAGGATAAGAGAACTACTGCATGAGTGTTTTATTAAACAAAAACTGCTTTCATATGATCAAGTTGAAGTCTAAAACTGATTCCTCCCTTGACCCTAATATAGTCAGATTCTATCTTTGATAAAAAAAAGCATCTTCCTTTATATTGCCCCCTCTGCACTACTACTTTTATAGATGTGTGCTTCCTCTTCCTCTCTAGTTTCTTCATTTACTTTAATTTTTTTCTCTTCATCTTGCACAATGTCCTTCCTCTTTCTAGAGCTAGAGGTAATAACAAATTTTTTTTTCAATATTGTTTATTGTCATAGTGTAAGAAGCAGAAATATTGTTTGTTCTCTAGTGTAAAGAGCAAACTTATCAGCACTTGTAGCTTCACCAACAATTCTCCAAATTAAATTATCATCATCAAAGATCAACTTATCTTTAGTAAGATCTCATCCCTATTTTCTCCTTCTCTCATTTTTTCAATAACCACACTCATTGTAATCGTCAATATTATCCAAAGTAATAAGATTAATCACATCACGATTGTTATAATGATCTAATATATTTTGGTTATACTTGATATAGACCAAATCTTGCAATTTCTCGCAGTCTAATTTATTTCTCTTTTTAGAATGAATATAATCATTAATTAAGAAAATATTAGTATCTTTTTTAAACCAATTAATATAAATCTAAAAAAAAAACTATTAATTAAAACTTAGTTACTTACATGTTCAAAAATTTTCTCTCAACTTGATGACCTACAAGTTAAATTCAACACCTTAAAGGGTAGCTTTTACAAAATTGGACCTTGATTTCCATAATTCTTCCACCATTCAACTATAATGCAATTAAAATAATTGGCATTATTTAATTAAAAAAACAACAAACAACATTAAAAGAAAATTAAACTCTTTTGATTTACACTAACTAGAAGTCAAAGTATGCCTTTGTCTTATAGCTACATTCAAACTAAAGATTTCATTAACTCTTCTATACATGGTCTGATCAATTGTAATTTTATCCACCTCTTCTTCAGAGGTACTCCATCTCTTAATGCCCTTGTATAGTACATATGTTAGTACATATGTCGCTTCAGGATCAAACTCAATATTTGGATTGAAATATTAGAATATAAGATCTAAGAAATGACCTACAGCATGTAGAGGGTGATGAAGTTGACATTCTCACATTCTACCAATGATCTCAAATACATACTTATAATTCTCTTCATTTTTATTAAAAGTTCTTTTAATGGCTTCCTTAACTCTATCCATTGTTTCATATTTTGGCATTTTCCATTGTCTACAAGCTTTAGTGTAATGGGCTTTATCACCTTAAGAGTATGCAAGACTTCATTTCAAAATATAAGCATAAAAAACATTGTCAGTTGCCTTCTTATCCTTAGTCTTTTTTGTTATCTTTGATTTCAATCAATCATTCGAAGTGAACATTTTTCTAAGGTTGCTTTTATATTTATGCAACTTTTGCAAAGTGAGGAATGTTATTGCAAATCTAGTGACTCCATGTCTAACCAATTTCATCTTTTTTGTGAACTTCCTCATCAATTTCAAAGCCAAGGAATGGTTGTATATGAATCTTACAAGATAATAACCTCTTTGTATAGTCATTTTGACTTTTGGAATCTTCCTAGTGTCCTCTAACATCAAGTCTAAACAATGCACCAAGAGTTCAAAATAGGTGGTCTCTTTGCTCAGAAATATTTACCTAAGACAAGATTTAAAGAATTTATTATATAAGATAAAAATAATAAAAATAAATTTTTGTATGGTGTATAATACTTAAGTTCAAGTTCTTACTAACCAAAACATAATAACACATGGACAATTAACCAATAAATTAATCAATGTCGTATTTTTTCTATATGACCATCCATTTGACATAATAGAGCAATCAAAGTTCAATCATTTTACCTCCAAAGGTTTCATAATCTCCTTTGTTAGTTCCAATTCCTTTTTCAACAAAGGAATTCTCATTTCATAATAGTTTGGTGGTTTAGGTGTGAACCATAATTTCAAATTGCTTCGATTATGAACTTGGCTTTTAGACTTCACAACATTAAATGAGATTGAATTTCTATAGAAAAATTTTGGAATGTATTGAATTACCATTGCCCTTGCTTTTTCGTCACAAGCATCCTTGATGTTTGTTTGCCTTTGAACTTTTTCCAATTAAATTGATGCTTTTGACTTCTTCATGAGTAGCAAATCCAAAGGGTCTTTTGGATTTCTTCCCTTTTTCGCAGCTGAACCAATACTAATTGATTCAGTTGTAGATCTTTTTCCAACCCGAACAAAGTGCATTTCTTGAACCTCTTCCTCCTCATCTTCATCTTCCTTCAATTCAATAGTTCTATCTTCTTCATTTTCAACCAATTTTTGTTGGTATGCTTTAACGAGTTTCTTCTTAATCTCCAATGAAAGCACTCATATTCCCCTTATCCCCCTTGTTGAGGTTTTTAAACAAAAGTCACATGTAACACTATCTTTTATTGTTAATATCTTTATGGCTCTTCCATTGCCAAACAATGTCAATATTTTTTCCAGTGGACTTCACCAAGCCACAAACAGCAATTGTAGAAGCTCCTTGCTTCTGTCTTGTGAGGAAGATGCCATGGAAGGGGGACTAGAAGTTTGGAACAACAAACAAAGCATGGATTGTTCAAGTCCTGACTTTCCAAGTAACAAGTGTGAACAATGAACGTGAACATGAACAGCAAATCAAGGCATGAAGTCATGAATAGTAAAGTAATGTGTGAACAAAAAAGCAGAGCATGATCAAAATAGAGCTTGAACAACAAATTAGAAGATGAATAGCAAAATAAAGCTTCAAGCAAGAGTGATCAGTGAACAGTATAACAGACCTCAAAAAGAAAAGCAAAGCAGACGATAGAAAAGCTGATTTCTTTGGTGAACAAAAAGCAGAGGAGATGCCGGAGGAGAAGAGGAGCTAAAAAAGCTGATTTCTCCAGCAAAATGATGCGGATGAGCCTCTAGACAAGCTGATTTCTCTGGTAAAATGGAATGGGTGAGTTGGTGAAAAGGGGAGAAACCGCTTGTTGAAGTCCTGACTGACTTTTCATGCAGATAGTAAGAGTGTGGAGGAAGATGAAATCAATTTTATGATATATATATATATATATATATATATATATATATATATATATATATATATAGGTAAAAAACCTTTCTACCCTTAAAAAAGTAATCAAAACAGTGCATTTAGAAAAAATAGAAAAAGTTTTCTTACTTTCCCCAAAATTGCCTGATAGCACACGCGAACTTCTACATGTTTTGGTCACAAACCATCCGCAACCATTGCAACGTGACAAACGCCCTGTGGCAGCAGATGGCCATGCTGCACCGGTACAGTAGCACCGGTATAGTACATTATTAACAAATGTGTTGAAAACAACACCTCCATACTACAACATACAGCCAACAGAAGAACTACTAAAACATTCCCATCCATTGTAAAGCTGCCCAACAGAAATGATATAACTTTTAGAATATGCATTCATCTTGAGTCTTGTCCGTCTAAAATCTTACCTGAACATTTTATGAGGTCTAAAGTCAGCAATATTTCACGAAGCACTGAAAAAAGCAAAAGAAAATGTAAAAGATTTCATAGATTATGCAATCAAACTTTAATAGGATGGCTAAAATCAAGAGAAAAATCTGTTAACAAATTGGGTTCCTTAAAATGCTTAAAACTGTGAACAGGTGTAAGATGAAAATCTACTTTCAGTATGTTATACAGCTAATTTTTCATCAATGAAATTATTAATAATACTTTCTTTTCATTATGACTCTTTCCAGTCTACAACTCTACATAACTTCAATTGTATTTAAAAAATCTTGTTCATTTTTCCATAAGAACAGGCAGAAAGCAGATGAGCAAAAACATCAGAAATGATAATCAACATAAAAAATAACAAAGGCCTTAAGTTTTAACTGGAAGCAAGAAGAGAAAAACTGTCTATATATGTTCCCTTCCAGGATGGCTCTCTATAATATCCACTTTCACAGGCTGATGATTGCAAACAAGCACTAAATGACTGACATGAAGCACTAGATATTGTTCTCAATTCCACAAAACAATTGAATGGAACACCGACAGCCCTAAGTCCTAACTCTCAAGATAAAACTTATAATAACTGGATTTTGAGCTTACAATCTAGATTTGGTTTTAAACCACAATTTCTTCTACTATACTTCAAGAAATAGCGATCTGGTCGCCCATTGCATCTCTCTTCCCTGTGCAGTGCAGAAGAATCTGCTTGCTTGCGATCAAGTTCTATGCCACTATCTTCACTGAAGTTTATCAGTCGATCAGAACAACTACCCTCCCCTTCCTTCAGCAGCTCTTCCCCAATTCCTTCAACATCAAATTCAGTAGAGTGCTCACCATTTTTTGAACCAGTTTTCATGCCACTTCTGCCCATGCAGAGAAGACTCAGATCAGTTGAAGAATCACTGTCCAAAGACCCTACAGAAATCAGAGGCTTGCTGCATAAAGATTTACAGAAGTCATCCAATAGCTTATTATCATTGGATACTTCATGCTTATCACTAGCACTAGCATTCCTTGAGTCAGACGTCTTGCAGGATGAATCAACACTAGAAGCCCACCTCTTTGGAGTATCCAAGTAACTTGTATTCAATAAAAAGCAACCGTTGGAAATCTTTGGCAAGTTATCCAAATGTGGATGCAACTCAAAAGTCAACTCAGAACCATCAAGAACCTTAATAGAATCCATCTTGGGAGGCAGATTCAGACTGCTCTCTTCCCTATTTGCTACTATACTCAAAGCATTGTTTGCCAGCTCAACAGCTCTTTTAGCCACCACAGCTTTCTTCATTGCCTCATCTCTAGCCCTAGCAGCAGCTTCAACCTTCTCCTCCACAGCACGGTTAGCATCTTCAACCACATCCTCCATAGACCTCACCAAATTTCCTCCCCGCAAAACCCTAGAACACCCTTTATCTAGCATAATTCTACCCTTTTTCTCAACCACCCCACTCTTCACTCTTTTCCTTTTTCTTCTTCTTCTAGAAATTGCCAAGGGTTTAGGAATCCAACAATCCACACAAACAGAAAAATCAGAGCCCAAACATGCGTAGGACCACGGAGCAGCGTGCTTGTACTTTAAGAAACAACTTTTGTGCACAGAATGCTGACACTGGACGCAACGAAAAGACTCGGAAGACATTTCAGAATAACAATAGGAACAAATTTGGGAAGATTCAACAGAGGAAAAACAATTTTTGCAGAGAAGAACTACACGCCATTCGCTATAAAGGGTTCGGAGCCTGTTCTTACCAGTGCAAACGTCAACCTTGAAGCCACAACCATGGCATTCAGTTAAGTTGGGCAAATCCCTAGTTTTCTTTTGCGGTGGAACGCAATGTGAAAGGTTTTCAGATGACTCTGTTCGGTTCTTCGATTCAAGGAGCTTCATGGTGGGTGAAAATCTGATTGGATTAAACTGAGAGACGAAATGTTTAGGGTTTTCGCGATTCAGAGATTTGGGGGTGGGCAGGGTGTCAATGTTTCGCTCACATGGGCCCTGGAAATGGAGTGTTCAAATTATACGCGCTATCCTTGCAAGTAATCATATTCGACTTTTCCCTTCCCCTACTCTTTCGAAAAGACAAAAGTAACACGATGATTCTTGGTAAAATAAATCAATACTATTTCAGTCTTCATGTAACCTGACTTTTTAATTTACTCTCGTAAAATTCTATAGATACTTTTTTAAAATAATTTCCGATGTTAATTTTCATTATCTTATATTAAATACCTTTTTATTATACTATATGAAAAAATGTAATTATAAAATAAAAAATTTATTTTATAAAAAATTCATTTAATAATATATTTTATTTTGACATATCTTAATCAATAATTTTTTATTATAATTTTTATAGTTTAAAATTTTTTGTCTAAAATTATTTTATATATAACAACTATAATATAAAAATATTACATATAAAAATAAAATATTTAAATACAATATACGGTGTTATACAACCATTTAGAATACAAATCATTTAGTAACTTGCTTATAAATATTTGTTAGAAACTAAATAAAAATTAAGTTTCATATAAAAATAAAAAATGCATATAAACCATAAAAAAATAATGTCACCATATCTTATTAATATTTAATATAATTTTTTAAACTGAACTATATTTTTATTTTGTAATAAATTTAATATTTTTTAATGAATTTTCTATAAATTATTTATTTATTATCTGATTCTATTGATATGATAAATTTTATTTAATCTTTTATTTTTAAAAAATTACATAAAAATCATTATATTTATGAGGATTAAATAAAAAATTTAAATTTTCTAAAATTAAATAAAAAATTATAATATTTAAATAATTATTTAATAATAAATTATTGAAGTAATTACTGATTAATATAAATATTTATAAAATATTATATAAAATTTATAATAATATACTAATAAATATACTTGTGCATTGCATGAGTTTGTACAAATATATTTATATTTTTATTAATTAATTTTATTTAAAATAATTATTTATTAAATAATAATCAAACAAAATTTTTAATTTAAAAAGTTAAAAAAATCTTTAGTTAACTTTTAAAATAAATTATATATATAAAAGATAAATATAACATTTAAAATAATAATAATTTTAAGTAAATTTTTATTATTTAACAAAAATAATTGATGATGAAAATTAAATTTAAATATTTAAAAATATTAATAATTAAATTTTATAAAAAAATTAAAAACTAATTCAAAGTATAATTGAATTTTAAACAAAAGATGACAGATTCTTATAGATTTTGCAATCCACGTGAAGACAGAGATTTAGATTCTCTCATGTTCGATTTTGAACATGACAATCATGTTCACATATTTTTTAACATTCACTTAAGTGAGTAAAAATTTCATTTAAACTAAAGTTAAAAAATATGCCGGTCATGTTCGATGATTAGAGGATCTGGCGCGTAGGAACTGCCCAGAATCGTTTCACCACACAGAATCGCGCGCGCGTAGTAGAGTTATCAGTTGAAGCGCGTGATAGAATCTGACAACTATAAACGGAGGCATGTTTCACACTCATTAACCTCTTGGCCCCAATTTTTCGCATCTCTCTATCTTTTGTGTCAGAGTCCGACTCTTTTGCCGTCGCACCCTCACTCTCTCTCCTTTTGTCGATTCCCACGCTCCTCTTCTGGTTAGCTTCTCTTCTTCCTCTTCTTTCAGATCTGTTTGTTTGGTTTCGATTTCGTTTTCGCTTGTGTCTTTCAAGCATGTTTTAGCGCGTAATGCATTAATTGTTTTACTGTTTTGTTTTTGTTTTCATAATTGTGGCAGTTACTACTTTATCTCAGTGCTTAGGTCTTAGTTCTATGAATTTGGATATTTTGTGCATTTGATTGATATGCTGCGATTGGATTTGTTATCTGCATCTGCAAAATGCGTGGATTATATTATGCATGTGCTTGAGGAACACACACTGCTCTGGTTTGGGCTTTAGTGATCTCGTTGAATAAGAATTATTACTTTATCTTCCGGAAATTATGCACTCAAAACTTGATCTTTGTTTTGTTCTTGGTGGCTGGGTTCCCATAGCATATCGTTTAGAAATTTTTTAAATATGGATTTAAAGGATAATTGTATGGATCTGTTTATGAAGTGTTGTTTCTGTCTAGGTGCTTTTGTTTTGGCTCATTGCAAAAGTAGTAAAGTGTTAATCATTTCCATATGTTGTGCTCCTAAAATTTTAAAGGAATTGAGAGTACGTGAAGTTTTTCGCATGTGTCCTTGGGCCCATTAATCTTTGCTTTATTTCTGTTTGGACTTTGGTTCTCATTGTTATTATTCGCTCTTGCAATTTGTTTTTGCCAGCTGTTTTTGTGTTGCTGGTACCAAGATGGTTGGAAGTGTTGATGGTTTAGCTAAGGATTTGAGCAGCAATGGAGCAGTTGAACCATTGCCGGAGGATTTTGATGCAACAGCCATAATCAAAGATTCTGTGCCTTCTGCAATTGGCTGCAATGGAAAGGAGGAGGGTCAGACCAATAAGGGAAAAGAGAAAAGAGAAATAGTACTGGGAAGAAATATCCATACCATGTGTCTAGAAGTCACAGAGCCTGATGCAGATGATGACGTTACTGGGGACAGGGAGGCTTATATGGCAAGCGTGTTGGCCAAATACAAAAGAGCTTTGACTGAAAGGACAAAACATCATCTAGGTTTGACAATACATACACTTTGATCTTACTGCTTTCTTGATTGCATTTATGTTATTGTTGTATTTGGGAAACCAACCAAATTCTTCAGATCATTCTGCTGTATTAGACTACTAGGAAGGAGCTTGATTATGTCTTCCTGAAATTGTAGTATTTGATAATTTGTGCCATTATTACCAATATTTTAGCTTCTTTTGGAGGTCAATGGCACCTCATTTTACTCTTACAGAGAAGAAAGTTAATGCAGTGATGTGTTCTCCATGTTGACACCAAGCAAAGCATCTGACTCACTGACTCTGCCCTTGCATACTCTCTTATCTTCTGCTTGGAATGAATATATAACTTCCTCTCTGTGATTTCCAAAATCCAAATTAACCTGCATATCGCCTTGGTGCACCCAACAAGACACATTCATGAAATAATTTTATCACAATTTTGCATAATTTATGAAGCCCACATGCTTCTTCAATTAACATCTGGAGTCCATCTCATGTTTAATTTATGAAAAATCTATTACAGGTTATCCCTATAATTTGGATTTTGATTATGGTGCACTCTCACAACTTCAGCACTTTTCCATAAACAACCTGGGAGATCCATTTATTGAAAGCAATTATGGTGTCCACTCCCGGCAGTTTGAAGTTGGTGTTTTGGATTGGTTTGCCCAATTGTGGGAACTGGAGAAAAATGAGTACTGGGGCTATATAACCAACTGTGGTACAGAAGGCAATCTCCATGGCATCCTAGTTGGGTTAGTTTCAGCTAGTTTTATTTAGTTCAGCATTTTGTGCGTTTGTAAAGATCATCTAATGTGGTTGCATGACTTCTGTAGGAGAGAGGTCTTTCCAGATGGGATTTTGTATGCCTCACGGGAGTCACATTATTCTGTTTTTAAAGCTGCTCGAATGTACAGAATGGAATGTGTGAAGGTTGACACTCTTTGGTCTGGGGAGATTGATTGTGACAATTTCAAGGCCAAGCTTCTTAGTCATCAGGACAAGCCAGCAATTGTAAATGTGAACATAGGCAAGTTTCTTCATAATTTTACTCTCCATGTCACCCCTCCTCTTCACTTTGTTGACTCTGGCTCATACAACTGAAACATTGCAGGTACCACTGTGAAAGGAGCTGTGGATGATCTTGATCTGGTCATAAAGACACTTGAAGAAGCTGGATTTTTGCATGACCGTTTCTACATCCATTGTGACGGGGCTTTGTTTGGTCTCATGATGCCTTTTGTGAAAAAAGTATGTGCAAATATTTCCATTTAATATGTGAGATATAATGATGAAATTTTCTTTTGTTGTGTTCATCTCTTCCAATAGAAAACTCTGATGTGTTATTGTACTACTGTTCTGATTTTTTATTGGTGAGCACCATTTTGGTTCTTCCATGCATAACCTGTCTATTTTTTGGTGGCTCATTTAGTCATACATTTTCACTCTTGCAATGAAGTCATAATTTTTATTGACATAATCCCAAATACTATATGATCAAACCTTGTTCTTTTATATCATAGTATAGATTTGTACGTTTTAATGTTGGTTGATCAACCCAATTTCTATAAAGTATAAGCATGACAATCATTAATTATTTACATGCATATTAAACTGCCATGATTTGTTCCAAGTTCAGTCTGGGATGTTCTATTTATTATAACCTGCTTATATTTAAAAGTGAACGAGACTAAAATATTAAACCCGTCTTATGTTGGCCAAGTTATCTAAGTGGTTGCTAAAACAAGAAATTAGTTCCTGTAGTTATGTGAATCATGCGATATCCTTAATTATTTTGCATTTGTTTTCATAAGCATTGTCATAACTGATTTTTTTAAAAATTGATATATCAGGCTCCAAAAGTTACTTTTAAGAAGCCTATTGGCAGTGTTAGCGTTTCTGGCCACAAATTTGTGGGGTGCCCCATGCCTTGTGGTGTACAGGTAACAAGATTGGAGTATGTTAATGCCCTTTCAAGGGATGTGGAATACCTTGCTTCTAGGGATGCCACAATCATGGGTAGTCGGAATGGCCATGCTCCCATATTTCTTTGGTATACCTTGAATCGGAAAGGATATAGAGGTTTTCAGAAAGAAGTACAGAAATGCTTGCGAAATGCACACTACTTCAAAGACCGCCTTGTTGAAGCTGGGATTGGTGCAATGCTTAATGAGCTGAGCAGCACGGTGGTGTTTGAGCGGCCACATGATGAGGAATTTATTCGCAAGTGGCAGTTGGCCTGCAAGGGGAATATCGCACATGTGGTGGTGATGCCAAACATCACCATTGAGAAGCTTGATGATTTTCTGAACGAGCTTATGGAGAAACGGGCTACGTGGTTTCAAGATGGCAAGTGTCAACCTTACTGTATAGCATCAGACGTAGGTGAAAAAAATTGCCTTTGTGCTCTGCATAAGTAATGGTAGCATCGAATAGTTTACAGCTGTAGTTGGATTTTGGAGTGTGACTGTTCTATCAGAATTTTGATGCAGATAATAACATTTAGAATCTTTTTGCTTCCCATATTTACTTGCCTCTTAAATTTTAACATATTGTTTGGTTTCCTTTTTGGAAAAGGCTTGCTTTAGGAGATGCTCTGATTTATTTCGTTTATTTAGTTTTAAATCAAAGATAAAGCAAGTATAGGGTCGACCACAAAGTCTTAATTATAAATTTTTATTACTTCATTCTACAACTTATACGTGCAGTGGATTTATCGAGATATTGAAACATTTTAGCACAGTTTTTATAATTCAACGGGTTAACAAGCATTCTGCTGCCAAAATACTAGTAAGAACGTTTATTATTTCTTTGATGTTCTCTCGTGAATAGATTTTGAGAACTTTTTAGATTTTAATTTTGAAAGCAAAACTTTGTGACAAATACGTAGAGTGAATGAAGGAATATCTTTAAATAATTCTGAGTTATGAACACCCAACCCAAAACAGTTTCATTACCTAGTTACCACTTCCTCATTTTTTTTCTCTTCCTTTTCCTATTACATCATATATTTTATCATATTTATCACTTTTTTTCTCGTCTATTCCTTTCTATCTTTAAGTGTAATACATTTTCCATCTTTTAAAAACCTTTGCTGTACCAAACAAAAATGAAAAAGAAAGTGCTTTTTATTTTAATGATGTAGAAAAATAATTGCTATAGGTGAAGATTTGTGTGTGAAAAAAATGTTGGAACAAATCCTCTCTTTTTGAGAGAAAAAAAATATTTTGCAATCAATATATAATATAAAAATTAGACTATAGAACGAGAAAATATTTAGATAAAAAATATTATAAGAGTAAATCAACCCTTGATTTAAATTAAAATATTTGCAACGAAAATGTATTGTCTTTGGTATGATTTACATAAAAACTTAAAATCTATGATACTAATTGAATGGTGACGACTTGAATTTATACTCAAATCATAAATTTACTTATTTATGTATTAATCATTTATATAATTAGATATCATGATAGACATATAATATCCCTGCAATGCTTCTTTAGTTTCTTAATAGAAAAATCAATGACCAACTATAGTTTATATGTATATACAATTAATTTTATTTTTTTTTAATACTTCTCTCTACTAGATAATGCTTGTAATTATTAACAGTACCAAAAAACTTGTGAAAACGTCTCTTGATAAAATGATGCACTTATCTAGTTGCCACCGAAGCTACGAAGAACTATCAAATTTTATTCTTATTTGTTGACAAGCTACAATTGCCTCATTGGAATTGTCAAAGTAAAAATGTTCTTTCTTGTGTACTTAGTTATTATAGCAAATTCTTCCGTTTTAAAAATTTCTACATAACTATTTACTTTAAATCATGAGCCAACGCACATTACCTTTTCACTTAAGAAACATTTTTTTTTTTCACTTTAGAGATGTCACATATATATTGTATTACATGATAAATTACTTTTCTACCAATCTATTGGAATATTTCCTTTATCGCAAATCATGAAAAACAACCTATTTATGGCGGCTCATGAAAAACAAAAGTTTTCCCCATAGCCAAATAACAATTCGGAAATGGTGGAAATATGAAATAGGCATAGCATATGTTGTTACGGCCAATTATTAAATATTATAACGAGCCAATTATTTGTTATAATTAATAACCAAAACAATAATAGATTCTCTCTAGGAATAGTAGCATTATGCCTAGGGATAATTTTTTAGCCTGACACTTGAACAGGAAATCCAAAAGTCCACACCTCAAACCAATTCAGAAGTTTAATAAAAATGTCCAGAGCAAAATACATCCTTCAAAACCTTAACGTTTAAATTTGGCACAATGTTCTTATTAATCACAATCTAAAGTCGCCATAGGCTCAAAACTTCACAGTAAACAAAATAGGAACCATACAGGGCATATAGTTTGGTTTTTTATAACATCAAATGTTTAGAAGGAGTTATTTGGGAATGAAAATAGAACAGAATGCAATGATAGTAAGCCTCAAAATCTCCCCTATTACTTCAGTTTCGCGAATAGCTTTGGTGCAACCTGCATTACGGGATTATGATTTATCAGAGAATACAAAAGCAAACCAAATGAATTAAAGGTTATTTAAAACTAAACAGTCATACTTACGCATTTGTCAATACAAGACCAATAATCAAAATATTGTCCAGTGCAGTGTTTCTGCCCAGATTCATCACCATGTATCCTTTTAATGCATGCCTGTAGCAATTTAAACAGTTATTTTTCTCTGCCAAAAAAAACATTATTTTGAAGAAATTAAAAGAAGAAAATGCAGTACAAAAATTTGCCAATATAGATCCTCTTTTTGTTAATTTATTGTTCATTAACACAATAACTCACAACTAACATGTCAAATCTAAGGTAGGCCTACAAATGATATGAGCATTAGATCTCTCAAGTAGAAAGAGGGGAGTCAATGTAAGAGGAAAGCCCCCATTTGTGTAATCTTTTTAAAATTAAGCCTAAGACCTTCACCCAAATCCCAAGTCCCCAAAACTGTAATTTTGAGGCCTTGCTTCTTATGAAGTTCCTTTCACCAACTATCGATAAGTATGTGACAAATATTTATTCAAATGCAAATAATTAATCAGCCAGCAGTTCTTAACAAACTTTCCTTAATTGGGGCAGAATCCTAAAACCCCCCACTGAGGAATACAGCAGAAGTATCACATTTTCCAGAGTATGAGAGAAGAAAAAATTACATGAGATTCAGAAACAAGGAAAAATAAATGGACTACCATGTTGTAGCTCAACATGATAATCCAGTTTCATCACTATTTGACCCATTCATCAGCTATAATATTTACTTCATATAATAAAGATCGTATAACTTAAGCCAAAGGTACCAGATAACTCCTCCAATATTTTCTTCGAAATATTAACTTTCTTTGTTCTCTTCATTTCTTGAATTCTTGACTTTTGCTAATACTCTCTTTGAGTCTCTTCATCCTTTATTTCTTACACACAGAACTCTCTAATTGTTTTTTTTTTTTTTTGGTGTGCATCAATGGTATTTTGTGGTTCTCTCATTGTATGTTTTAGAGACCATATCATAAATTTTACTGGTCCAAAGGGGGACCAATAACTGTGAAACCCAATTACGGTGCCAATCTACTATCAATTTTAAAATCTAGAAAATAAAAAATTCTTGTATTGATCATTTAAATAACAAATAAATCTCATATTTAAATGATCCAGCTTACAATTCTATAGAAAAAGAACACACCTGGTATTCAAGTAATGGTTTTACACATTTTGGTTTGCAAGACTCTTCAAGATATCTCTTCTGATCAACAGGTTCCTCGTCAGCCCTAAATTCATAATAAGATCCAAAAATGAATTAAATACAATAAATAGGAGAGAATATCATAAAAGACAAATTAAAAAAAGAGGCAAGAACAGAAGAACTCAGCAGAAGCTATTAACAGCACAATACCATAGAAGTACCATAATCAAACCAAGCAAAGTCCAATATATGCAATAGTTTTCATACGCAGGCAAACTAATGCTGTGACACCTCAATTATGTTATGGCAAATGTAAATCAGCACTAGCAAAAGCGCTAACATGAAGGAAAAAAACACAAAGCTTATGCAACCAAGAGAAGGGAAATAGGCATATCAAACTGATAAAAGGAAATTGAAAATTAAAGAAAAAATGAGTCCAGCAAGCACATCTGCACACAATTTGTGTGGGTCCTCTTGAGATTGTTTACAAAATCGAGCACAAGCTCAACGTGCATCAAGCTCTTTTATAGCATAATTTTTGGAGAAATTTATCTCACACATCCCGGAACAAAGAGTAAATAAAAAACAAGAGCAAAGGTGGACTATATATCACTAACCCAATCTCTCAAGGGGTCACACCCAAAACGCTGTAAATCAACAAAACCCCATCTTGAAATCACAAAATGCAAAAGCCTCCCTCTCAAGAAGTCCATAAAAGAAATTAAAAAAAAAAACAAATAAATATACAAACTTTTGGATCAAACCAAACAGAAACACCATATCGTGTTCCAATCCCTACAATTTCAATGGCAATCAAGCGTGGGCAACAAAGCCCTTTCTGAATCATTATCGCAATCGATTTTTTACATGCGTTTTTAGAAAGAACACCATAAACAAAAAACAATTGCAGCAAAAATTCGAAACCCTAGATTTGAAAAGCGGGGACACAGTGTTCTGATTCAAATAAAAGATAAATAACAGATCTAGTAGATGATAATCAAAGAAAGAGAGAAGCTTGGAAGCGTACATTGCAGAGTGCAAGAGATTGCAGAGCGTTGGTGGGTGGTGTTGCTGTTGATGTTTGGGTTTGATTAGAAGAACTCGTATTTCGGATCAAATAATACTCTCACTTCCACACTGCTCGGATTCAATTAGGGTTCCGTCCTATTTGCCATTTTTGGTCAAATTATATTACAATTACATTTTTGTACCTCGCTTTTTTATTTTAGAAAATAAAAATTATTCATTGTTTAATAACTATATTTTAATGGTAAGTAATCAAAATAAAGAATGTTAAAAACAGAGAAAAAATATTCTCCCTTTCTTTTTCTTACAAAAATCATGTCTAATTGAGATTTAGAGTGTTTTTTTTTATGATTTTTATACAAAATTAAAATTTTTAGGAATATTTTTCCTTTAAAAAATACAATTTTTAAATAAATTTTTAACTAAAATTATTTTAATAAATAAATATAAACACATTTACTCATATATGATATATAATTCAAAGTTTATTTCTATGTCACGTTATTTACAATTAATTCATTGATTGATAAATTAGTTTTTTTCACTGTTTTGTTTCAAAATCTTTTTTTTTTATCTTTTAGATAATCATTTAAATGTAAATTTTAAATTTTAATTCTAGACAATTTATATATTTTTATTAAAAAATAAATATATTTGTGTACACATGCAAGTATACACGTGTATCTTAATTAAAAATTAATTATATAAATAAATTTTAAAAAAATAATTGATTTAAATGATTTAATTAAATAATAAGTTAAAAAATTAAACAGTTATTGAAGACTAATATTATATTTCAATTAGATAGGAAAACTTTGTCAAGATTATGCTCATTCTTAATCGTATAAAAAAGCTTATATTCTAAAGTGGCATATACAGAAGGCGAGGGAACTTACTTGACCGGTGTGTCTAAATCTCTCGTTTAAAGTTTTTATTTTTTGAAAAATGCTAATTAGTATATTGAGCACCAGTTAAAATTTTAAACTAATTTTTTTAATTGAAAAATATTATTATATTAATACGTATTGTTATATCAATACTTTTATTATTTTTAATGTAACTTAATAAAACTTTATTTTTTATTAATGCACTTAAAACTAACAAAAAGATACTTGTTTAGTAACAAACATGATGTTAGAATATGCCATTGCAATTAAAAAATATATTGGAGGAAAATTCAAAGAAAATATTAAGGGAGTTTTAAAATTTTATTTCATTTAAACTTATCATATTAATTTTCTCAAAGCTACGAAAAAAATAAAAATAGAAAATAAAATATAAACTAAATGAAAAGACAAATATGCAAATTAGCCGGAAAAGCATGTTGTTCATGTAATTTTTGTAGTGAATGAATGGGCTCAAGGCCCAACAAAAAGCATCTCTCTGTACACATGCTACCATCTAACCTTGACCAAAACAACAAACCTCCAAATCCCGATCCAAATTCGTTAATTATTAAAAATTATGTGAATTTAATTCTTAAATTAATATTTTTTGAAATAAATATTAATTAATCTCCCAACCAATTAAAGAAAGTCAACGTACATGTATCGATTGCATCTACCTCTAATAAAAACTACCAAGCTAATTAACGCGAGAATCGGTCCAATATTCTTATGCAAAGACCTTAATCAGCAAAATAAAAATTGTCAGTCAAGTTCCCTCCTCCATCTCCTCCTCCCCAATGACTCACTATATAACTGCTGTTTCTGTCACAATCTAATTGTATTTTGCATGATTTGGCCACGGAAATCAATATCTTATACATATGCTATAATAAAATAACACAATGGCTTGTGGGTTCCGTGTGGAGAACACGTTACTTTATTTAGTTATTTGTTTGTTACTTTCAAAATCCTCATATCTCTCACTCACAAATCACAATTGAATACTGGTATTTGCCATTTGATTAAATTTTGTATATGCTTACATAATGATGGGTCATAGTTAATTAGTTATTAGCCGTGGATTTGTGCCAAAACTGAACAATATTTCAATGCTTAATACATTTGTTCAACTTCATTTGCTAATGCCGTACGTGGGTTTTGAGTCCATTCAATTTAATTGTGGAACCAAACTTTAAGACTCTTCTTTTTATGATAATATCAATAAATAAATCATTCCACTACGTTCTCACAATTAAAATATTTCATTAAAAATATAAAAAATATGTTTTTTTGTCATAATTTTAAACAAAATTTAATATTTATTTATTTCTCAATTATAGTGCATAGGTCGTAGCCGACACTGATGAAGAGAAAACAATTGTTGGGAGCAGTCTTATAAGCACTAGCTAGCTTTAAAAATACCATTACTTTTCACAAGGGGTGTAAAAGGACACTAAAAATGGCTTTATTGTGGGCTCCCATGTTATTTATTTTGGAAAAAGGAAAGAAGATAGGTTCCTTGTCCTTGAGACACTCCACCACCAAAGAAGAATATATTTTCAAGGCAACTACAGAAAACTTTTTTTATTTCCTGCAATCTTTAATTTCCTATTTAATCGTAGCTTTTAAATATTCTTTCATTTCTTGTGATTGACAAGGGAAGAAATCGCCTATCACCTAACATATAAGCTACTTTTTTTGGTACATATAAGTTATCCGGCTTACCAATGTATGATACCATCTTACATATACACGGTCCCTATTAATCACCACAGACGCCTTTTTATATTTCCATTCATTTTTAAAAGATTTTTTTTAGGAAAATATTTTGTGTATTATTAGGAGAGAATACCTTTAAATATCATTTTTATATTTTGGAATGTATTTTTATGCATGTGTAGAAAATAGATTAAAAAAAGGAAGAAATAAAAATATTTGTGATTTTTTTTCACACCAATAATAATATGAACTGTTTCAAAAAGCATCTTATGTATAAGTATGTCGGGTAATTTTTTCAAGAAAAATATAATCACTTATTTGTTTAAAATTCCACATAAAATTAACAAAATCAAATAACTATTTCTCTAAAACAAATTAAACAAAACACATATAATTTATAAATGCGGTAATAAAAGGATGAATTGGCTAACCATTGTTTTAAAACGAAAGGGGATTATTTATTAAATGATTATAATTCAATAAGATTATTTTACATATGTAAATCAGTAGCTAGAGTTATATATTCTCAAGAAATTTGGAGCACACTAGGAGATTATTCTATGGGTTATTCTGCTTGATGGTTCTCGAAACTATTAGCAAATTATATATAACACCCACCTTTCTATTTAGCCAATCATGCCTAACTTTAAAAGCGTGCTCTGTTTGAAAAAAGTGCTTATTGAATCAATTTTGTGACTTTGTCAAATACAAGAGCAAAAATGTACCTGGAAATAACTCCCTCAAAAAATAAAAATAAAAATCTAGAACCATGTCGTGCCACGGGGATGGAGCTCCCGCTCCCGGTTGATTCATGAAACCAAAATTGAACCAAAATTTGAAAGAGATGTAACATTTATTCGACAAAAAATTAATATACAATATTAAATCACTTTATATTAAGGAACTGCTTGACACCATTATCATGCATATTCATAAACATACATCAAACCATGTAACGAAAAAAGAAGAGCAAGATCTAATTAATTAAACCAGATCTAAGTAACTAGCTACGAAAGAGGGGGAAGAAAAAGAAAAGTGTTGGAAATAACATATGACATGGATCAAACTCCAACATGATCTACAAGCTTGGTTAAACCAAAAGTAAGTGCCATGGCTAGCCATCCTCCAATCAAAACCCTCAAAGATGACTTCACAAAGGGTGCTTTCCCTAAAAAAGCACCAAACCCTCCAAATACCAACAAGGCAAGGCTCACAACAGCCACCACTACCCCCAACCTCACCTTGTAGTCTTTAACAAAGGCTGCACCAAGTAGAGGCACACCTGCACCAAGGGCAAAAGCAAGAGCAGATGCAAAGGCAGCATAATAAGGGTTAGGCAACTTCTCCTTTTGTTGTTGATCCACCTTTCCCTCTCTCTTCATCTGAGCCAGCTCAATATCATATTGTGAATAAACAGAAACAAACTCTCCAATGGCCATGCTACATGCCCCAGCAACCAAGCCAGCAATCCCAGTTAGCATCATGCTCTTAACATCCTTTCTCACAGCTCCAACACCCATCATCAGAGATGCTGTTGAGAGCAACCCATCATTGGCACCCAAAACAGCTGCTCTCAGCCACTGTGCCCTCTTTGCATAGTCAAAACTCTTTACCTCTGTCCCCTCTTCCACGTCCAAGTTGAAGACTTTTGAGTCGCTAAGGGGTTCAGGAGCATGGTGAATGCCATCGTTTGCCATGAATGGAAGCAACAGGGAAATTTTATGCATACACGATGAGTTGTGAAATTGGAGTGTGGTGGACACACGCCTTGGGATAAAGGGTATATATATAGATGATAAGACAAGTGGGAAAGAGAATATGGTAGTAGGTGCCATCTTGGACAGGTGGGACAACAAGTGATTTTCGAATCTAATACGTTCATACTCGGTGTTTGAAGGAAGCAATCCCTTAGATATTCGACACGTTAATTAGGAAAAATATACTTTCACATTTTTTAATTTAGTGTAATTAAGTTGGAAGGGGGAATGATAGTGACAAGAAAATAAATAAATAAATAATAAAAATAAAAATAATATGTGAAAATAAGAGTTGAATACATTATACGACAATAAAGATATGAAAACAGAATCGAGATTCTAATATTCTGATCACTGATAATAACTTTAGTTGTTTTCCATGTCGTCAAAATTTTTACCTGCCGAATTTTTTAAACCATGTGTTTTTTATGTCTTAAACCATGTGTTGTTGTGCACCGTACGTGAATTATTAAAAAATAAATAAATTTTGATTAACGTTGACTTGTTATAAAAAAATAACATTATTACGATTTTATCTATGTGTCATAAATTAGTGTATTGGCGGGTGAGTTAAATGTTGAAATAAAAAGTAAATATTTTACAAATGTTATTATAATACAAATATTCATGGTTTGTAATTATACAAATGCTTTTAAAATGATCAATCAACTTCAAAATATGAAAACCAATTAATCGAGATTTATGTTATAAAAAATATAATTTAAAAGCATAATAAATACCTTGAATTAAATATGAATATCATACTCATAATATATGTTTACTTTATAATTTAAATATTAATAAAGTTTTATACAAATATAATTATGTTTTGCGTAAAATAGTCATGTTCGCATAACATACATTTGCCTTTTGTTATGTAGTGAATAATTAGTTTAATGTATAGTTTTTATATTTGTGATGTAGAATATTCATACAATCATTTATATTTTAATATGCCCAAAAAACTAAACAAAGACTTATTCCACGAGATAAAGTATATTATTTGAATTATATGACATTATTGAACTTAATAAAAGCTTAATATTTTAATTTAAATTATTATTAAAATTCTTATAATATTTTTAATATTAATTGAGAAAAACTATAATAAGTATAATTAAATTTGTTTAAGATTAATTATGATGTAAAACTAATTTTTATATTTGGATTCGTTAATTGTAAAAGAAATTTAAAATTATTTAATTTTTATTTAAAACATAAGTATATTGTTTGAATTGAATATAATCATTATATGTGACAAAATTATTTGTATTTAACATGAATTTGATCCAATTCAAATCATGTAGAATTATTATAGGTAATAAAAGTTTTCTTTTAAATATTTAACATAAAATTTAAATTCAAGACTATAAATTAAGTTGGAGTAACATTCTATGAATTTACGTATTTGGTCATCAAAATTGTTTAATTTAAATTGTATAAAAAGTCAATTTTATATGATAATTATTGAAAAGAGTATTAAATAATATTTGATGCTTCATTTTAACACAAAAATTTTACGAAATTAGTTTCCTAGTCTAAGAAAAATCTTATCGTTGATTACAATCGTTTTCATCTATTACAGATTTTAGTTAAAATAAAGTCCTCTCTATAACTCATTAATCTGTCAATTAAATATCCACCCATTTTGAAAGAATTAATTTTATTTTTATAATAAAAAATTGAATCACATTACATTAAACTAGTTCAGAGTCAAAGGCTATTGGCCATTTGGAGGCAAAATCTTCCTAAACCATTGTGGCTCAATTTATAAAAAATTCAATTCAGAGACAGACCCATTGACCCTTTTAATAAAAAAAACTTATAGGAGTTTGCTGTGAGCGTGAGACTACGGCTATAGCAGAAGTATTACGAAAGGTAAATAAATTTTATTTAGTATTTTTTTTTAATAAAAATTCATAATGTTTCGTAACTTAGTTTTTGTCCTTAGTTTTTCTTATCAGTTAAACTATGCAATATGTTAATTTTTTATCTTTATTTTAAAACATGAAAATTATTATAGCTTAACCTTTAATTGTTAATTAATAATGTGTTAAATACAAAAAAATGCCCCCGGTTTGTTTAATAATCAAACTATTTTTCTATAGTTTAAAATCCAACATTTTAACTCTTTGTGACTGACTAAATCGTAACTAAAACAATTTTTTAACTAATAATTTTAAGTGAAAAGATAGAATAGCCCTTACTTTTATGTCTAAAAGTTTATTTATTTGTTATTGCTTTTATGAAAAATTAAAAAAAGTTGCCCTTATGTTATTTCACTATTCTACCTTTATGGCTAAATTAAGACTTTGTACATATAGTTAGAAAATATGTGATCATATTAAAAAGTATAAATTATAAAAATTATTTTAAAAATGATACTGAAATATTATTTTTAAAGATTTCATTTTTTTATAGTAAACAATATTTTCTTTCAATTTCTTTTACTTTAAAGAAATTTATAAATATTTATTTTCTTTTAAAATTGATAATTTTGTTTCAACATTTCTCTTTATCATCCTCTTTTACTTTGGCATTTTTAATCGTTCAAATAACAGATAAAAAATATTTAGACTTAACAGTAATGGTGGTTTCGTCTTTTCACTTGAAAATACTAATTTAGTAATTTTTAATTTGAGTTACAATTTATTCAAAATCGTAAGGAGTTGAAGAGTAAGTTTCTACACTAAAGAAAGTTAATTTGAATATTAGGAAAACCAGGAGGATTTTTTTTTACCATTAATTATTTAATTATCATTTAGATTTTCTTTTTAAAAAAAAATGAAATAATTTTATTTAAATTAAGTTTTCGAAGTCAAGATTTTTACTATGCACAACATTCATATCATGCATTTAAAACGTTCAATGATTTATTTAAAAATCATTACCATTTTCTTGTATTACATTTAATGACTAACTAATGTATATGTTAAACTATTGATGATTATTTCTTATTGTTTATTAACATATGATAGTAAAGAGTAAATGTACAGAAATATAAAAGGAAGCATAGATTGAAACGTGTAATTGTTCTCTTAAGACAATTTGAATCATAAAATTCTTATATTTTTTATTCATTTAAGAGTTTTAATCGTTGCCGTTTTTATTCTAGCTAAGCATCGCAGCATAAATATCCCTCAAATTAAATTAGAGCTGGTATAAGATTTTATCCCAACTAATCACATTTGACGACTTGCGCGAAAAGTACCAGTTATTTTAGTTTAAAAATCAGTCAATACTCCAAAATATATCAATATATTTCCTGTGAAACATAAAGAGATGTTCATATTTCCTTTCGATTCAGCGGTATGTTAAGTAAACCTCTCATTTCAGTTAAATTGTTCTATCTCAAGATATACATACAAACACTTTCCAACCCGACATTAACCAAAAGTGAGGTTTGTCATTTACAGAACAAAGGGAATTCAGCAAACTATAATTATTTTTTAAAATGTAATGAGGTTGTACGATGAATGAAACCTACAGTTGATGTTCAATTTGACTTAACTGGAGCACAAAAGACAAATATATTGTGATTTTTTTTATTTTTTGTATTCAGCTGTAACAGATTGGAAATCCAAAAGTCCAAACTTCCAAACACATTCTTGAACTTTTAAAAATGTTGGATTCGTACCAGAATGCTTTCTTCCAAACCTCAGTTACAATTTTGCATCATGTTCTGATCAATTATAATCTAGAGTCTCCATGAGGTTAAATTCGGGTGTAGTTATTTGGAAATGAAAATAGAACAGGACGTAATGATATTATACTAAAAAATCTCGATCATTACTTCAGTTTGAAGAGTAGCTTTGGTGCAAACTGCATTGCGGGATTACGGTTTATTAGAGAGTACACAAACAAAATCAAATGAGTTGATGGTTATTGACTAACTAAACAGTAATACTTGCACAATTGTCAACACAATACCAATAATCAAAGTATTGTCCAGTGCAGCGTTTCTGACCAGATTCATCACCATGTATCCTTCTGAAACGCGTCCTATTAGTACTCTAGCCTAGCCCGTGGTCCTGAAAAAAGTAATTTTGAGGCCTTGCTTTCTGTGTGTTAATGGATCAAAATCCTCTGTCCCGTTTCCTGTCTTCGCCCCTGTCCCTCCAATCAAATTTTAACACACCAATTAAAATTTCATGTCAGCATTCAAGTCTAAGAAGCGTGGCAGCCACTTCCTCTTCCCTGAAGCACCATGGTACCCTGTTTATGTATTATTCTATCGAAAGCTTGGCCTGCTCATTCAACTGGTCCACCGCCCCCTCTTACTTGAAACAATGGGTGAGGTTACCAATCAAGGTTCAGCTAGTCTGTGCTTATTCATTCTACTAAATTTTCCATCCCAAGTTGATGTCTTGGTTAGCCGCCCCATCATTGGCATGCCTGAATGTGGAGAAATTAAGTATGATGCTAAAGTGTTTGATAAAATGCTTGATAGGAATGTAGTTTCTATCTTGATAACAATTATACAGTTTAGTGTTTTACTAATGAAACCATTACAAGTGGCTTAAGAAACTCATTTACTTTGTGACCCAATAGAATTTGAACTTCTAATATTAAGTATTCAAGAGTTATGCATTCATTTATTCTCTTTCATTTAGTCCTAACATTTTAGTGAATATAATTTGTTAGATTCGTTTGGTGGATGATGTGACAAAATAAAACTTTCGTTAATTACTCAAATAAACATCTGTCAAACCTTGAGGGAGATGAGTGGAAACCTTAATTATTTCATCTTTTATTGTTCCAAATTATTGCATCCTAAAGCTTGTTATCCTATCTTGAATGTAATGTGATTCTTAATAAACTGATTGGCAAAATGAAAGTGTTATGAGACCAGATTCATTGATGCTGATGTTAATAATAATTCCATAACTAAGATAGCCATTTTCGTGAATGTAATGGACTTGTCACTTTCACACTGATCA